GCCCTCATGCAGGCAGGGGTGGGAGCGCGGAGAAGTCCAGGGGTCCCTGCCATCAGTTGGGATTTAACCCACGGAGAGTGAGTGTGGTTCTGGGAGAGTCTGGGGGTATAACTACTTGGCTGAGGGCCCTTGTCTCACTCCTGAAAATGAGGTCATTCTCATGGGGGAAACTTAGGAAAAAGAAAAAGGAAGTAAGATTTTTCTTTTAGCCCTATGCAAAGAGAGGTCGCGGGCAGGAGGGCTCTTCAACCCAGGAGCGGGCAATCCAAGAAAAGTAGGCATGTCCAACCTGCAGCCCATGGACCACATGTCCTAAATCATAAATTACTTAAAACATTAAGAGACTTAAAAACAAAACCGTGTCGTGAGTTTGGTAAATCCTCCCCACACGCTGGTTCTCTCAGGAGGGCACCACAAGGGCTCCACGGCTTTCAGGCTGCCTCTCTGGTGCCTCCGGCTGCTGGCTAGCACTCTTGACTTAGGGACCAGTAATGCCAACTGCCTTCTCTGTCTTCTTGTTCCCCATTGGAGATCAGGGCACGTGACCTACCTTGATGACCTTGAAGCTCAGGAAACCCCTGTGGAGCATGATGACTTTGTATTCGTCAGCACCCTCGTCCACCACGTGCCTCAGGGTCAGCAGCTCCTCCTTGTTGGACAGCACCGCACCCCTCCAGGCTGGGTCTCCCTCGTGGCAGATCACGACTTTCTTCTCGAAGGACTGGATGGCCTCATAGAGAACGGCCGGATCTTCATACTCATCCGGGCAGGTGAACTGGTCCTGGTAGGGAGAGCCCAGGTGGGCTCAGTGAGGCCAGAGCTGCTGGTTCTGGGCAAGGGCAGAGGGGGACTTGCGGTGGCCTCTGGGGCCACGTGCTTGCCTCATTTCCCTGCTCCCCACTGTACCCTCGTCACTGAATCTTGAGCTGGGCACTGAGGGCATTGTCCCTAACCAGGTGGAGCGTGCCCAGGAAAGAGCTGCATCTCTCAGGCCTCTGTGACATTTAGGTCAGCTCCCCTCTTTCTAGTGAACCTCCTCCTCTATGCTCCTGGGGGAGATGGCATTAGCCAATGTCAGGTTTATTCAGACCACCCACTGTTTCCAAAGCTAGCGTTGGATGATTTCTGAGGCTTTCCAGAAAAAAGGTACCAGATTTTTTTTGGGGGGGGTGTTTGTTGTTGTTGCTGTTTTGGTTTGGTTTGGTTTTGGTTTTTCGAGAAAGGGTTTCTCTGTGTAATTGTCCTAGCTGTTTTAGAACTTGCTTTGTAGACCAGGCTGGCCTCGAACTCACAGAGATCCGCCTGCCTCTGCCTCCCCAGTACCGGGATTAAAGGTGTACACCCTCACCCCCTAGCTCAAAGACTATATTCTTATTACTTCATTTCTGTGGCTTTCTTTTTGAGACAAGGTCTTATTCTGTAGTTGAGGATGACATAGAATAATTTACCATTCTAATTTTTATTTGAGCATGTAATATACATCAGAAGGAGATGGAGTCTGCATTATTGACTTTCTCCTTCGATGTGTTCACTGTGTGTGACTGCATATGTAGAGGACAGAGGGTCACCTTAGGTGTCCTCCTTGGTCGCTAGCCACATTCTTTTGGTTGTTGTTGTTTTGAGATAGGGTCTTTCATTGATCCTAGTGGTCACGAGCCTGGCTAGATTGCTGGCTAGTGACCCTCAAAGAGCCTCTTGTCTTTCTGTTCTCAGCATTGGGATTGCAAGCAAATCAACACACCTAGATTTTCTCCCTGGGTTCCATGGTTCAGACTCATCCTCATGCCTGGATAGCAAGTCCGGTACTGATGGAGGCCTTGCCCAGGCCCACATTTCTTATTTTTCTTCTCACAGTAACCCAATACTGAACTGAAAAAAAACTTACAGGGGAGAGTTCTCTATTTGAGCCCATGGTAAACGAAGATTTATGCCATACCCCTTGGCTGAACTGATTCTAGGCCAGTGAGGAGACAGACAACCATGTAGTGGGGCTCCCTGGGGGGAGGATGGAGGAGGAGGCTGCTCACCTCACGGTGGGTGGGAAGTTGACTTAAGGGGGCAGACTCAGATTCTTGTTTTTTCAGAAGTGGCTTTTTTACCTGGTGCAGCTTCAGGGACATCCGGACGGCTGGGACCACAACTTTGTGCAGCAGGTCCATGTCGGCGAATACCCACTCGTCTCGAGCTGTGACCCGGAAGTCACCTTTGAAGAGGGCATGCAGCCCGTACAGAAATGAATCCAGGCTGCAAAACAGTCACATCACTGTGGGGTGCGCACAGAGCTCGTGATCCCTTCATCCCACCATCGTCTGCATCTCCTGATTTAAGGATTATCTTCCTGGGGTTAGGGAGATGGCTCAGTTGGTCCACACAAGCGTGAGGACCTGAGTTCCCAGCACCCCATAAAAAAAAGCCATGTATGGTGGTATGTGCTGGCAATCCCAATGCTGAGGAGGCAGGGGTAGAATTGGTCCCTGGTTCTAGCAGGTCACCCAGTGTAGTTTACTCAGTGAACTCTGGACCAATGAAAGATGCTGTCTCAAGTAAGATAGATGGTACCTGATAACAAACAGGGCATGTATGATCACTTGCACATACACACCCACAAACACACGCATTATCTTCCTGTATTTTGAACTGACCCAGCATGGAAAGGAAGATGATTCTGGATGTTTCCCAGAACCCCCATGCCTGGCCCCACAGTGAGGCTGGTGCCTTGGTGGAAGGCCATCTTCCATCACCATAGGAACCACTGACATAATCTCTGAGCGGGAAACGGAGCTTCGGCCTGGAACAGGCCAGACACATACACCAGAAAGCAAGGACAGCAGGCTCACCCTCCCCAGCCTCACTGGCTCTACCACACATATCTCCCCTCACCAGTATCTTACTTCTCTTCTTGAAATTTCAGGGCTGGGTTAATCATAGTAGAAATTGGATTCTATCATAATATACAGAGAGGAAAAAATAGTCAAATGTCACCCAAGCACGGATTATTAGATTATCAGAGCACAACTGTCCCCTCTGCCACCCTTCCTTCATGACTCGAGAGGCAGCCATGCGGCAAAGGCCAAGGTTGGTGGCTAATCGCTCTGCCAGGGTTGTTCAGGTTTTCATATCATCTTAGTTAGGATTTCTATTGCTGTGAAGAGACACCATGACCACAGCAGCTCTTATAAAGAAAACATTTAATTGGGGCTGGCTTACAGTTCAGAGGTTTAGTCCATTATCATCATGGCAGGACATGGCAGCATGCAGACAGACATGGTGCTGGAGAAGGAGCTGAGAGTTTTACATCTTGCAGGCAACAGGAAGTGGTCTGTTTCACTAGGCATGGCTTGAGCATATATAAGTACTCAAAGCCCGCCTCCACAGTAACACTTCCTCCAGCAAGGCAACACCTACTCCAGCAAGGCCACGCCCCCTAAGTGCCGCTTCCTTTGGGAGCCATTTTCCTTCAGACCACCACACATGTCCTGCTTTGCTTTCCTGCTGTGTTCCATCCCCTGTCTTTGTCACTGTCTCTGAGTGTCACCTGAGTGAAGGACAGGGTGTCACGCCAGGCCGGGGGCCTTTCTGAGTGAACACAATGAGTGGGCTCAGGAAAACAATGTGTCCTGTATTCTGGAGACAGGAAGGAAACATAGTCCTTCTCTCCCTCACCCTTATTCCTCCACTGTGCCCTCTCATGGTGACCTCTAATGCCCCCGAGATGCAGGGGTGAGGCAAACATGGCATCCAGCACTTTGGACAGGGCTGGCCTGGGACAGAAGGCATAAGACACAACTGAATGAGAGGACTTTTGTCTCAATACCATGCACGGGACCTGTGCATCAGAGACACATGGCCACTGCATGCTGATGCAGCACCTTGCTGTGGTGTGTGCCTCCTCCGTTGATTTCCATCCTGCACTCCCTTTAGGAAGACTCAGAGGCTTTGCACAGGGGAAACGGGAACTGCCAGGGCCTTCTCAGATGGAGGAACCTAGAACCTTCTGGAAAGGGATCTAGGGAGTAACCTTTCCCAAAGGACTGTCTGCTTGCAGAACAAGCACTCCCAAGGGGCTGAAAGCCGCAGCAAGCTCCTGGGAGGCCAAGATGCCACTGGAGCTGAGAGGAATTGCAAGCAGACGGGTGCCATGGTCAGAGGCTTCCCTACCTGAGTGATGCCACCATCTGCTCTCCAGGGGAACATCTGAGGGTACCCCATGCTGGAAAGGTGCTAACTGTGGAGGGCCACAACCACATTCTCCATTACTTTAAGGGACAGAGGTAGAGATTGACCTCTGTGACCTCAAGGTGTGGTAGTACACTCCTTTAATCCCAATGCCTGGGAGGCAGAGGCAGATTGACCTCTGTGACCTCAAGGTGTGGTAGTACACGTCTTTAATCCCAGCATTGGGGAGGCAGAGACAGTGGGACTATAATGCGCATGTGCTTGGTAACTTTCCACTGCTGCGTCCCTGCCTACTCCCGAGGCGTCATCTGGGTTGATGGGCAGCGGACCAATCCAAGAGTGACACATCCGAAGAGAGGACTGTTTCCTATATAAGGGATGGGTTCCCCTCATTCTGGGTCTCCGCTTTGTAAGCTTATGCTCTCTCTCTCTCAAGACGCATTAAAGCTTTTCTGCAGAAGGATCCTAAGTGTGCCGCGTCGTTCTTGCTGGCGAGATGGTAGCGTGGGACAGCTAACTGTGAAAGCAGAGAGGAGCTGCTAAGTCATGGGTGACTTGAGCACAGGAAGGTGTGGGGACACCACACTGCACACTCAGTGTAAGAGGAAATGCTCTTTTAGATGTGGGACCAGAATAGGACAAGACTTGAGGGTCTATCATAGCCACGGATCCAAGAGCCTCAGCCTGCTGCTTTCTCAGTCGCAGGCCATTGCTCCCCCTTACTCAGACACCCAGGCTCCCATCTCAGGCTCAGCAGGCTACCCTGGGTTGTCAGTTCGCTTTTCAGAGAAAATGACACACTGCCGTGCTTATAGGTGTTTTATTAAAGTGACCCTCCACATGAACCAGAGCCCGAGTGAATCCCTCTGGCATGGGGAACCCCCCTTGACCTCACACAGTGAAGAGTTCTACCGGGAGGTGTTTCATAACTGGCTTTTCCCATGGGGGGCACAAGGAGGAAGAAGGTCTCCTGTAAGCAGCCTGCAGTAAAGCAGGGCAGAGTGGGGAGCAAGGGGCTTGGAAACCTCTTGAATGCCTGCAGTGCATTTGGATTTGGAGCGTCACTGGGGTTTGTCCTCTTAAGCCTCTGTTGAGAAGCCAGTGTAGTCATCGACAGTTGTGATCCCTGAACTAGGAGGCAGAGATAGGTGGATCCCTGGGGCACACAGGGAGAAGCCCAGGCACAGAGGTGGCTGGTGCCTGGAGAAGGACAGTCGAAGTTGTTCCCTGGCATCTACACACACGGACACTCATCAGGCACAGGAATGCACACATACGTTGACTGGACTAAGAAATGACAGGCTCCTACCCAGCTGGATCTGGGCTGTCACTGCTGTGAGAGAATGGTACACGGCACAGTCAGGTTGTCTGTCTCAGAGACCAAGCCCCATCTGAAGCCCACGAAGGAGGCGGGCAAGACAGGCTGTCTCATCACGGAGCCAGGAGCCAGGATGCTGGGGAATCAGGAGAGAGAGAGAGAGAGAGAGAGAGAGAGAGAGAGAGAGAGAGAGGAAGAAGAAAGAAGAGGAGAGGAGGAGGAGGAAGAGAATGAGAAGGAGAAGGAGAAGAAGCAGAAGCAGAAGCAGAAGCAGAAGAAGAAGAAGAAGAAGAAGAAGAAGAAGAAGAAGAAGAAGAAG